AGTAAACAAACTATACTGGTAATATGTCTTAATAGTAAACAAGCTATACTGGGAATATGTCATAATAGTAAACAAACTATACTGGTAATATGTCTTAATAGTAAACAAGCTATATTGGGAACATGTCTTAATAGTAAACAAACTATACTGGGAATATGTCTTAATAGTAAACAAACTATACTGGGAAAATGTCCTATCAGAAGACAATCTATGTTGGGAAAATGTCCTGTTAGAAGACATAATGTACTGGAAATATGTCCTTACAGTAGACAAACTATAGTGGAAAAGTGTCCTGTCAGAAGACATACTATGCTGAACTATATAATGATAGATAACATATTACACAAGGAAATTTAACTTGTGGCATATAAAAACATGTTCTCTTTCGTAAGCATCCGCTTTTAATAGGATTGTGAAGAATATATACTACCTGGATAAAGAAAATATTCTTGAATTTATGATACAAACTGATATTTCCATATTGTACCCATCAATTAACTTGAGTCGTGAAACTTTGGGATATTATAAGATTACTTCCATAATAGCAATTAATTACTACTAAATTAAATTGTGGTATAAAACATTTACATTAAAATTGACGTAGAAAATGTTTTATAATTGAATTACGTAAAATATAAATTATTCTTCATAGATGGCGACACCATACCAACAAACACGAGCTTTTCGCATAAATTTAAACGTTGGAAATTGGCTGGCTATATATAGAAATAATCACACTAAAATTTTTATTAATTTTATTGGGAAAATGTTCTTTATTTGGTAACGGAAATATAGTTTAAAATTGCAAGAACGATACACTCCTGAAATAGGTTTCTGAAAGCTACCATATAATTGTGGGGGTCGTTTTGCAACTCCCTTGCTTCCATTTATTCCGATTCATCATGGCGTCTTCTTCTTCTAACTCGCACGTCTCCGTGTCCTCTCTAATAATGTCAAACCATCTCTTTTTTTATGTCGTTTGCCGTAGATTTCCGTCGATCTGACTATTTTACCAACGCATTCTTCTGGTCTTCGCGTAGGTCCTCTTTAAATGAACATCTGAACATAAAAAATGAAAGTTTATACGATTTTTAACCATTACTGTAAACTTTCAGAAAGTCCCAAAATCAACGCTTATGTGTTAATTTCTTAATAGGTTTTAAAAGGTACGGAGTACAAGCGTGCATATGTGACTCAAGAGTAAGACATATAAGCAAGTAGAGAGACAGATGGATAAAGAAAGAATAAACATTTTTAATGCTAGGACAACAGCGTTATAAGAACTGAAACCACAAACCATCGAAATTATGTTACACGATTTGGAACGAGGTGATTTAGACATTACCATCCACAAACTAAAGGCAGTGTCGTGACGTTGTTTTTAACCAGTTGAACGGTCAACATTCTTTATTTGTTGCATACCTCAAACTGTCTAATTTCACCATCCCATAATTTCTCGTTTATCTCTCACACACGCTTGGTAATGATATTTTATCGTCCAAAAAATTATGTATCACAATATTTAAATGTTATTTCGTCGAACAATATAACAGTGGTTGAAGAGTAACATCAGAATAAAGTAACTTGTAAACCTACGAACAATTATACTATTATACATATAAAATAAAACTCACAAATAAAAAACTTTTGATTTCTATACCAATTTGGCAACTTCAGAGTCCTTCGAAGTAAACATAATAAAGTATAAGAATCCAAGTGAAATGTTTGAAAAAAGAAAACCTTCATACATAGATAAAACAATTTCAAATATTCCAAATGTAAAAAAAAAAACGTTAAAAAGAACAAAACGCACAAGTTGCTTTTTTTCTGAAATTTTGTTTGTTTTAAGCGCAAAGCTACACAATGTGTAGCTTTTCCCACCGCGAGTATCGAACCATGCACTTCAGAAAGGGGAAGGGTTTGGAGAGCTCAGACCTTTACCTTAAGCATGAACTTTAGAAGTTCGATAAAAAAAATTAAAATAACATATTTACTAGAAAAACAATTATATTCAGACAGTTAAACACTTTTTTGCAGTATTAACTATTTTAAAATTATGTTTGTTTGTTTGTAGTTAAGCACAAAGCTACACAATGGGCTATCTGTGCTCTGCCCACCACGAGTATCGAAACCCGGATTCTAGCGTTGTAAGTCCGCAGACATACCGCTGTGCCACTGGGGGGCTTACAATGATGATGTATACAGTTATGATTTTGGTATTCACTCTGTAATCCTGTTAATATACACGGAATATATTTAAGAACTATAACATATAGAAAATGTTGGATTAAAAGTGAACCTCTAAAAAAAATCTTGGTTGTACCATTGAATTGAACCCTGAATTTTAGCGTTATAAGTTCGTACAATTACCGCTGATTTAAATTAAGCTCATTGATGTTAAAGAGTATAGAACACTTTGGATATAAAAAAGACATTGCGGATAACTAGTCGGTGATGGAATGTCTGTTACGTTTCATTAACACTTTTTCAAAGTCCATGAGCCCGTTTTTCCGCTAGAGGGTTCTTAGTATATACAAAAGCAGTATGACCCACGACGTATATTTACTCTAAAAAACAGAACTTGTGGTTGCACGTGTATCGCAGATAATTGCTCAAGTCACACTAGGTCAAAGGTCTCTGACTGCTGCTCATACTGAATTAATTGCAACATAAAAAAAACAGATTTATGCCAAGAAGGATGATAATACTAATTTGTCCAACATGGTATGCGCGTGCATTTAATTTTATGAAAATATAAAAGGGGCAATATTTTTTTTTCACCAGAGCGATGAACCTTCCCTCCCATTACACAAAACAAAACATTAATTGTTTCGAATCATACAACATCGAATTTTCTCAACTTAAAAAAAGAAAAAAAAAGAAAAACAGTTAGATATTGTGCTAGCTAATAAAAAAAAAGATATCCTACAGCTTTTTCACAAAGGATAGTATTGAGGATTTTTGTACAAAGTATCCTTATAACACAGCAGGGTTCGAATGTTAGGCTTGTAGGTAGAGAAAAATAGGATCAAATTGCAAAGGATTAGCTACATAGATAACTCATTTGCGTCATAAAAATCTTTAAACGCGGCAGTGTTACCTAACGCACGTGGTTGACCCCCTAGCGGAGAAATTAACTTTATGGAACTTGAATAGACGTCCTGAGTTACAATTACATAAAGACCACCCCCACTGAGAAAGTAACAAAATCACGCTCTTTTCAAAATTCACACCCCCGCTAGTTAGCGCTGCGGGGTGGTTGTGTTGTCTGTAACGTGTATACGATTACTACAATAGAAATAACTGAATTCGCCTACTGTAGTGTTATATTATACTATTCTTGCTGTTTTGTCAGGGCACTCTGTGTGAAGTCCCACATGAATATTTTCATACTAGACAAACGTCATCAAGGAAACAGAGCCAGCCTTGTAAAGAAACACGAGATATAAAACCTTTTACCGTTGAGTGACCAGTAGAACGTCACGAATCCAATCCACTAATATATACTCTTCATCACGCAATACGGATTTTTATGTTTGTTTGAGATCTTCGCGTAAAGTTGGTTATTTGTTTGGGGCTTTATGGCGCAAAAGGTTATATAATGGCTTGTCTGTACATCTCAGATTTTGAATTGATAGACTATAAAGGGAAGGCAGCTACTCAACATCACCTACCGCCGTCTCTTGGGATACTCTTCTCTAATCAAACAGTGCGATTTGACCGCCACTCTCATAGAGCACGTAAGGCCTTAAAATTAGGTTGGGTTTGTTTGGAATTTCGCGCAAAGCTACACGAGGGCTTGCTGCATTAGCCATCGCAAATTTAGCAGTGAAAGACTAAAGGAAAGGCAGCTAGCCATCACCACCCACCGCCAACTCTTAGGTTACTCTTTTACCAACGAATAGTGGGATTGATCAGCACATAATAATGCACCCAGCATGTGAGCATGTTTGGTGGGACGGAAATTCGAACCTGCGACCTGCAGATTGAGCGCCCTGACCACCAGGTCTCAACCTTAGGAGCGCGTTTTTGCTACAACGGGATGTGAACCATTGTTTACAGTAATCGCTGATATGGCCACGTCTGACCGGATTTTCAGATTGTATTAACAAAACCGAAGTTACATCGATCTCGGTAACACTTCACAATTACATCTTTTTATCAGTGCAATATTAATGTAACACTTTCGTATCGGGCCACATAAGAAAAGAGTTCGTCATTGGCGCCCAAATTTAGAAATCTCCGCTAACTCGAGTTTTAGTTTTTGTTGTTGTTGTTGTCGGTATCAGGCTTTAGGTCTTTGTAGATCTGGAAGGTCAGGTTCAGTCTATACCTCTTCCTTCTTTACTGTGTGTTAAAAATACTGTAAAATGCTATTTAAAAATTCGCGTAAACAGGGCTAGAAGATGCATTATTTTAATACTGTTTATATTTCTCTTATCAGGGCCAATGTCCATAAACGTAATACATAGTATTTTGTGTTTCCGTCACAACTACGCTTCATTTGGTCGATGCAAAAACACTTCACAAACAGTCCATTGGTAATTTCAACACATTTCCGATATTATCATATCTAGAGTGAATTTACCAAAAACAAAAACAAAACAAAAACAACAACCTATAAATAGTCAATACTTAATCGAGTTTAATTTCTGGTATTGGGTGATTTATAACTTTTATGCAAGTAAGGAATTCATAATTGTTCTGATAATGTGTGGGATTATTGGCTATTATAAGTATAAATAACGTGACGTCATCTGTTTGATTTAGTGAATTCGGTACTCTTGAATAAGTTCAGTAAAAGTGGTTTTAATTGCTTCTAAAACAAGGATTTTAGTTTTGTATACATATATAATATGTATTGTATATATATAATGCATCAGCATATATATATATATATTTACACCATTTGAGATGTAGATATCGCCGCCAGGTCAAAATATACTTTTAGTTTTTGTATATGTATAGTTTCACATTACGAAATTGC